AGACAAAGAGTCCGTGGTATCTAAACGCCAGCGGTGTGCGTTGCACTGTTAGATCGACGAACATGCATGTTTGCGGTACCAGCAGCAATGCGTTCAATTCTTAAGCATTATAATATTGCGATTTTAGGCTTACCTCAGCTACGGTTGCTTTACAGCAATGTTGTCGTAAAAGATGACTCACAAATTATCCAGTTGTGTTTGTTGAGATCTTCACCTTAAGCTGTTTGCGTAAGCATAACTACCCTGGTTCTCGTTTTGTCCGCTTTATTCACATATATTCAGTACGAATGCTATAAGACACCGGTTACTGCATGGCAGGAGATTATTCTGTCTGAAAGCAGATCTGCCTTTACAATGCTTCTTTAAATCTGCATGATGGCCTTCTGGTTGATGTCTGCCATGTTTCTGTTCCCATAAATCATAAAACTGAATCGTACGGCAGTCTGATGAGAACTGCTGAAGAATGCATTAATTTCGGCAGAAAACTGCACACTGTTTGCCTATTGTGCTGTATTATTAAAGTTAACAAATATATGCTTATATGCAATAATGCTTAAATTATGAAAACAAATGTTATCTGACCGAAAAGTTACATTAAACTAAAAACCAAAAACTTTGTCGTGTGTTGTACCTATAACCATCGAATCCTAGAAGCCAATCTTTTCAAATAAGACACACGGTGGTCATAAATTTTCCTACTGTACAGATACGAACAGCTTTTAAAGACTAAAAGCAACAATTAAATCATTAAAGTTAGCATTCTATCGTACTAGAGACGCCGACGGGTTTGTTCCAGTATGAGACTAGACGGAACTGGTCAAAGATAAATTGCTGGTTCTGATTTCATTTTAAGGAAACATAAGCGATACTGAACAAACTGCGCTTTTTAGCTTGAAATAACATCTAGTGCTTTCGTAGATGTCTATGGCTAGTTGGCTCTATATCTATGGCCTGGATGGCAGGCAGGTAAATGAGGATGCCATTAGTAGAAAAAAATACACAGGGGTCTATTCCCCATATGTGCTGTAAAATCACCCGCGTGACTTCCAGGAAACTTGGAAGGCAGCATAAACCTATGCATCATATCATCCTTCTCAAAAATGGACAAAACGATGATTTATGATTACCGATTCACTCACAGCTGTTATCGATGACAGCTCATAAACAGAGGCGGAGAAAAATTTTAATTCCTCCCTTTAATTAATTTTAATTCCTTCCTTCTATAGTAATTTCTTTCACTTAATTTTTATGACACACGGAAGGGATTATTAGTGCATTTAATACTTTAACAGGGGATCGCTCTGTTTTATACTGTGTTCTTTGAGGACTGTTCAAGCAATTCTACTATTCAAAATGCTGAAGTAGCTTTTATCGTTTAACTGATTTATCAAATCGAGTCATGGAGACATGCAATAACCATTTGAAAATTAATTTCTTAAATACCTTAAAAAATTCAAGTAGCTAATCCCTCTGAAAAGCATCAAGGCATGGCTAAAATCTAACTTGAACAAAACTTAAGTCATGTTAAACAAATACGCGCGACCGACTGAAGTCAACGGAGATAAGGTTTGTTTGAAATAGAAGAAAACTACGTTTATTTGGGTCACCTCAGCACTGCAACGGAGATCGACTATGTGAAATCAACAGAAGGATAAAAATGACATGGAGCGATTTTGAAAGACTGAAACTGATCCTATACCGGATACTGCAACTGTGATCGAAACGACAAATATTCAATCCATGTGTGCTGCCAATGTCAGCCTATGGGTAAAAGCTACTCATTAACTGCAGACTACACAATGCAGCATGAAAATACGTTATGTTGAGAATAAAAAAAACAGGATGACGGATGTACGGATAAGAACACAAGCTAGCAGCTGCAATGTCACTGCCCGAGTGAAGAAGTTAAAGCAGCAATGGGCAGGACACGTTGCAAGAAATATCTACTATCGTTGGACCAGAGAAAGAGAATGGATTTCAAGAGAGAGTAAACGGCCAGCAGGATAGATGGCACAATCAGCTGAAGAGGTTCGCTGAATCAAAATGGATGAGAAACACAGAATACAGAAGTTTATAGGAAAATACTGGAGAGATAGTCCACCAGAAAATCGAAAAATACTGATAATGATCTATGTGCAAAATGATACCATGAATAAAACTGGTAGACATGTTGCGTGATTCAGGTTGTCACTTAAAAGGTTAATCCTCCTCAGCCGAACGGTAAAGTCAGACATTAAGTCTTTAAAGTCTGAATGTCCGGCACAGACACGATCCCATGTATGATTTTTAAGAGTTCAACGTTTCCATGATAAAACTGTTCTTCCCGATATATTGCATGGTCACTAAAATAGCGTTTTTCTTGAAACTTGTTTGACATAACATAACAATCATCATAAAAATGATCTTATGCACTTCATTTTTTCTGCCCTCTGTTGAAACCGCAGCTAGTTTCTTGATGAACGACTGCGAGTACCAAACAACTCAAAGCAAAGACGGTAACTTTCTTTCTAAACACGTTGGGTACAACATTTTTTTCTATCCATGCTTGTATTTGCCGAGTGCTCCCCCCAGATAGAAAATTAGCTAAAATATTATGAAGCTAAAATATTATGAAGTAAAACAATAACTGCATGGAATAGTTTTCATCGCACTGCAGTGCACAGAAAAGAAACTTTGAGAACTTACTTGAACGGGTAAAATCAGGACGAGCACCCGCGACTGCTAAAGCAGGAGCGGTCAGACTAAGATCAGTATACACTTTGTCACCGGGGGCGAAAATGTATCCATACAGGTTAGCTAAAACAAATTTTTCACTTTAATAAAAGCCAAGAATTAGTTAGATAAATGGCAAGTGAAACTAGTGCCGAACCTGGATAATAAAGATTGTGACCGTAACCAAATCGAGGGAGGTAAGCAGCAGCAGCATAATTTGCTAGAAACAGCTAGGTGACAAAGGTTTTTTGTAAAACACCTACAAACCAAGAATATGCTCCGGAATGCCGTAAAGGCCTCTGGCAGAAGAACGAGTTTTAGCCAGCTGAACTGGCAGCATTACTTCTTTTGGCTGAGCCTTTTTGCATTCAACCTAAAATTCAACGGTTTTTGCAAAAAAAAAAACGTTGCTCCGCGCAAAACAACGATCAACAACAAACCATTTTTCCGTTGATTTCGTGGAAATGAATCTCGACGACTTTCTCTACCACTTCCTCACTATCGAAAGTAATGAAACCGAACCCTGAATGAAAAAAGAAACTGAATCAAAAGGAAGGCAGTAAACGTATAGGTACATATAAAAACGGTTTATCTTGACACAGAATCAGTGACTATGACAGAAAGTTTCAAGAACGGGACAATCTGCATACTGCGCACATATTTTAAACGCAACCGGCCCACGTCTGGCCTTTCGTGCGATCATTACGAATCTGTCAATCACCAGTTCAAGTGGTGATCCTTTCAAATGATCGATTTTTCACTAAGTATCTTCCCAAAGAAAAAATTCTCATACGTGAATTTATTGTAGTAAACCAGTGCTGACCGAAATCAACTGAATACCTGCCGATGCTCTTTAGCATTTTTCGGCAAAACGAAAAAATACTACCAACACAACAAAAATGAGGTTGTCGAAACAAACCGCATAATTTCAATATTTGTATCACGGATGTTTAATCGTTGCCACTGACATTAACCAACATTTATATTGTTTAAAGAGCATTACTGTAGGCCGTTATGTTTCTAAAAGTTTAACAGCCTTTAGCATAAACACCGTTTAGTAGTACTGCAGAACTGACTTACACACTTAACAACTTACACAGCACTAACTTGGCTGTCACCCATCCACCTATTATATAGTTATCTGCGCACTCATTTTGTTGTTCAAGTTACTTATGTACGTACATACATACCTACGTACTTGTTTAACTACTTAACTCGTACTTATTCACTCGACTCATTCCCTCTTTCGTACGTGTTTTGCACACATTAACTTGGCATTTAATCAGATACCTACATGGGTGCATACTTAATATGACTTAATTTACATATTACGTACTTAGCCGCTTTACTATATTCATGCTTCCTGGTTTTGCTACTTACTTATGTATGCATTCCAGTGCCGCCAAAAGTAGGCTGCCGATATTACAGGAGGAGAACAAGTGGATATTAGTACCAGTAAAATAATCAGCAGAATGGAATAATGCGGTAAGACTTCGCCGAGTAAACTTGGAAAAATGAAGATCGATAGTCGCATT